GCGATAGCAAGTTTATTTTCTTAGTTTTCAGTTTTACTTAGATACAAACTTAGTCGCATAGTCTGTGACTTTTATATTTGATTTTTTGAATCTGTGCTATATTAATTAAATTATTTAGCTTTTCATTTCCAAATTTTAACTATTATTTTTGCTATATAATAAGTAAATTTTATAGTGAACATTTCTTTTACCGTTGTGAAAATTGTTAAAAACATATTGCATATGAAATGTATTATTGATTTTTGTTGGTAATTAACTCATTTGTATTTAAATAATATGATAAATTTTTATTTTAGCATTAATTCCTACTTTGAATGAATCTAATTATCTCAAATAATAATTTGATTTTCTTATTATTTGTAATTATTTTTGTGCTTTTATGGATTCTTCGATGATACGAGGAAAAAAAATTCGGCCCACCGATACTCAAATCCTGCCTCCGCCCCTGCCCACAAGTACACTATAATTTCATCTCCTCAAACTTTATATGTGTTGTTCATGTATTGTAAATGCCCCATTTAAAAATAGGGTTAATATTTTCGTATGGCCTGAACTTTGACAAAAATAAACATCCTGGCCAATCTTTTCGATCTATAACATCCTGGCCCGAACTATCCACCAAAATAAACAATTTGGCCAAACTCGATGTTTGACCGTTAACTTGGACGGTCAAACGCGTTGACTAACGGTCAACGCGCCATGTCACTGCCAAGTCAGAAGATCAGATAAATATTTTTTTTGTTTTTTATTTTTGGTACTAAGGTATTAGATTATTTTTTAATTTATAATAATTTAAAATTAGGGAATGTGTGGAAATTGTGAATTATTTTAAATATTTTATGCTGACTTGGTAATGACATGGCGCGTTGACTAACGGTCAACGCGTTTGATCGTCCAAGTTAACGGTCAAAAGTCGGATCTGGCCAAATTGTTTATTTTGGTGTATAGTTCGGGCCAGGATGTTATAGATCGAAAATATTGGCCAAGATGTTTATTTTGGTCAAAGTTCAGGCCATACAAAAATATTAACCCTTAAAAATATTATATCTCTAAAATTACAACAATGTTTCCAAAGCATTTGTCATCGTTTGTGTCATTTATCCCACTTTTCACTAGAACTAACTTCTCATAATGAAAAAAGAATGTTGAGTTCACCTTGAGAGTACTTGATTTAGATATGGCTCTTACCATAGACAATCCACTTTTTATTACCAATACAAGTACTGATGATGAAAAGACTATCTTCAAGGCTTGGGAGAAGGCTGATATATTGAGCATTATGTTTTTGCGTATGATAATCACTAGGAACATTAAAACCCTCTCTACCCGTTCCAACAACTGCTAACGAATATTTAAAAGCAATAGAAGAATGATTTAAGACTGCAAACAAATCCCTTGTAAGGAAACTTATGGTAGATCTTACAACTATGAATTTGATGGCACACGCTCGATGCATGATCATTGTATTGAGATGATGAACCTTGCTTCAAGGCTAAAGAATTTAGAAATTACCTTGAATGATTCATTTCTCATTCAATTCATTCTAAATTCATTATCTCCTCAATATGGACATTTCCAAATTCATTACAATGCATTAAGGGAAAGTGGACGGTAAATGAATTGGCGAGTAAATTGGTCCAAGAGAAGAGTAGGTTAAAACAACAAGGTATTAAAGTTGCACATCTTGTCCAACGAGCTGGATCTAAAGCTATATCACTATTACCAAAAAAACGGACATATTGAATAGTTCAAGACACAAATGGAACATTCTTGATAGTTCGGGTTTCCCAGTGCTATTAGCCCTTAAATCTATAAAGTCCTCAAGCAGGAATCTCAGAATTGGTACCACAAATTCACTGGTGCCCTATGTGAGTAGGGTTTTCATGCTTTTCCTGCAGACCATTCCATGTTCATCTTTTGTCAAGGCTCCACCTTCGCCGTGGCCATTATCTACGTCGACAAAGTTCTCATACCAGGTAACAATTTGGACTTCATCTCTCATGTCAAGCGATTTCTTGAAAGTCGTTTCAGTATCAAGGACTTTTGGTACATTGAAGTATTTACTTAGTAACGAGGTTGATCGGTCTCCTCGTGGTACTGTCCTTAGTCAATGAAAATAAGTTCTAGACATCCTTGAAGAAGCAAGCGTCCTGGTTTCCCGTCCTAGTTTGTTTCCAGTCGAACAGAACCCCCAGCTGACTAAACCTCACTCCAGTCCTCTTGTTGATGGATCTTATTATCGGGGTATAGTGGGACGGCTTCCCTATCTCATTGTGACAGGACCTGACATCTCATATGGTGTTAATATTCTCAGTCGGTTCGCGCATGCTCCTTTACAAGCCCACATGGATGCGGCTATGCACATTCTTCGATATTTGAAGACGTCTCATGGACATGGTCTTTACTTTCCAACATACAATTATCTTAATCTGGTTGCATACTATGATGCTGACTAGGGAGGTTGTCAGACTACTCGTCGCTCCACCAGCGGTTTCTACATCTCATTAAGTTCGGCTCCTATTTCTTGGCGCACCAAACAACAGAATGTCATTGCATGCTCGTTCGCTGAGGCAGAGTATCGTGCAATGTCCAGCACATTCAGTGAGTTACTCTCGTTACGATGGTTGCTTAGGGAGTTAGGCATTCCCCAACACGCTCTTACTCCTTTGTACTGTGATAATCAGGCGGCTCTTCATATTGCTGCCAACCCTGTCTTCCACGAGCATACAAAGCATGCGGAAATGGACTATTATTTTGTAAAGGGTTGTATATACCAGTGTGTAAGGCTCTAACCTATAACGTGACGTAATAAGAGCAAAAGCTGGAGAGGCTCATCTCTCTCGTGAATAGGGATGGCAATGGGGCGGGTTGGGGCGGGTTTTGTCAAACACAAACCCAAACCCATGGGTTTATCCGCCAAAAAAACCAAGGGTAAAACCCGCTGGGTTTGAAAAACTCAAACCCAACCCAACCCGTTGGGTATCCGCGGGTTCATGGGTACCCGTGGGGTTTTGTGGTAAAAAATTTACAATAACAAATTTCTTTCAAAATAAAAGTTTAACATCATTTTCTCATACAAATTATTCATACAAAAAACCAATCTAGAACATACAAGCAAACCGCAAATGATCAATACAAATTGTTCAAAATTAAAGATAAACATCTATAAACAACAAGATTAATTGAAAACTTCTTCCTCGTCAAATAAGTTTCTTCACTCTCCACTCTATAATATCAACTTCATGTTAAACAATTAGAAAGAACAAAATATACATGTTTCCACAAACATAAAGAATATTAGTTGTTTAAGGAAGACATATTATTTAGAATATTAAATATACCGGAAAAGCAATTATATGTGTGGGCGGGTACCCATGGGACGGTTTACCTAAACCCAAATCCAACCCGGTGAATAGTGTAGCGGGTTTACCCTTTGTGAACCTTTGTCTTGTATCATTAGTTAGAAGCAGGGTACAGGGCTCTTGCAGACACAATTCAGGAGCTTGAGTGGATGTCCTTCCTCTTTTTAGCAACTTCCTTCTAATGAATTAAGCTCATATATATTGAGCATGTCTATGACTCGGTATTAACCATGACGAATTAAGCAGTTACAACAATCTACAAGAATTCATTCGGCTTATTAAGATCCGCTTTTTTTTTGTTTTTGTTTGTCCCGATTAATTCAGACCAACAACTTCCAACCAAACAAAATGCCCAAATACGTAAAACAGGAAACCCCCCGAAGTTCTTCCAGAGGAACAATCCAAACTCCAAACTAAAAAATTTACCAACAACATTCCAAAATTCCGCGTTCTGTAGCTGTTTGCATTCTTATCAAAGAGCTCTTATAAGTGAATATAGCAACACCCAAATGGAGAAGGTAATCGATCTCTTGTGGTCTGTGTCTATAATGGCGCGTTGTGAGCTGTGCCGCAAGAAAGTAATCTTAGTAGTACAGCTATCACTTCTGGGTTTGATTTGTTCAAGGTTGTCTGTATTAAAATTAAGCAGGCAACACCAGGCCTTATCATGTTTTTCTTTGTTTCGAATTTTACGCAGATTCCAATTGACAAGTTTGTTTTATTTTTACTTTTCAACAGTGTATGTTCTTCCTTGCCTTGCATTACTTATTCATAGTTTCACTCCATTTACCGTATCTTTTCCATACATAATTTGGGCCGGCTGCCTCTTGTGCACTGTATGTGTGCATTCTGCTCCTTTTCTAATCTAAAAAAAAAAAGATAGTTAGTGTTAAGATATCAAAACGTATTCAAATCGTAAACACAAACAAAACGATTTACATGGTTTCCAGTATTGCAGGGAGCAATACCGACTAGTCCACGGGAAGGAGACGTTCTTATTCAGGTGCCGTATACGTACGTTTACATGAGTTTATATACACTACTAACCCTAGCTGCCGAATTAGGGTTATACAAAGCTCCTGGGCTGCTGAACATATTACAGGTCATGGGCTTACATTAAACATGGGCTACGCTACAATTAACAGTTAGATCCGTTCCCGGAAGCGCGCGCACGCCAAAAAAAAAAAAAAAAAAAAAGAAAGAAAGAAATAAAGTTGGATAAAGACTGCATATTGGAGACGGGGCTCAGTTACAAAGATTAAAGTACTATTTGGTGAAAAGAGAACACTTGTTTAATATCGTTAATTTTGTATATATCAACAATGTCTTTGTGTCTCATTTTCAGGTGGGTTAACTCATAGGTGGCATGCGTACATATGGAGTCCAATAAACATTTTAGCCGGGCCCGTGTCAACCTATATGATATGTTATTGTATAGAGTTCAAATTAACACGGTAGGTGTTCAAGATGATGATTTTCCAAATTAGTAGTTAATGATCAAAATAAATATAATGAATTAAAGGCAATCCACATAGATTCTTCACTCTCTATGATCCAATAACCTACCCTCTCCAACTCACTTATCATTTAGGGATGAAATTGCATGACACGTGGGAAACTATTCACTCGTTCTCTCATGATTACCCTTTGCATTTATTAACGACCAAATCGTGTACCATAAAAGGTGTGCATCAAACATATGAATAGGGCTGTCATTTCGGTTGCCGGTTAGCCGGGCTAAACGTTAACCGCCGGTTAGCGGCTAACCGGAAACCGAAAAAATAGAGGGGTGGTCGGTTGGCGGAATGGATAAGTGGGCAAGCGGTTAGCCAATAAATCGAAGCCGGTTAACCGGCTAATCGACGCTAACCGACCGAGATGAAACGACGCCGTTTTTGCTTACTCTTAAACACATCCAATCCCCCCCCCCCCCCAACCCTAGATGCCGCCTTCGTTCTCCCTCACACTCTGCGTTTGCGAGAGCGTGACTGCGACTGCCGACCCCCGCCGCCTCGTCTCGAGCCCCCGACGACCTCCTCCTCCTCGGCCCCCGCCGCGCCTCGCCGCCCAACACCCGCCTCGCCCGTCACCCACCTCGCCGCGCCGCGCCTCGTTGCCTCCACAAACCACAGAAGAATCATCTCGGCGGCCCACCCCCCGTCGCCTCCCCTGCGCCCCGCCGCCTCCACAGCTCATTTCGCAACGGCGTCCTTACTCGCTGCTGCATTCTTCATCGGCTCCCTCTTAGGAGGGGCCTTGGAGGCCGTTGTAGTAGCTTTCGTGGCCTGCGGCTGCTTCTTGGGTTAAGGTGAGATTAAAGTACATGCATGAGAGAGAGGAATTGGCGACGAGGTGGGTTCTTTGAGGGAGAGAGAGGGAGTAGAGGTGGGAGAGGGCGAGGGAGAAGGCGGCGGGGGAGGTGAGGAGGGCGGAGAGGCGGCGGCGAGGAGAGGCGGCGAGGGAGAGGATGGAGGAGGTAAGGGCGTCAGTGAGGTTGTGGCCTCTGGCCTGTGGGGAGGGAGGAAGGAGAGAGAAGGAGTTAGAAGGATGGGGAAAGGAATGAGAGAGAAGGGTGGAGGAGGTAAGGAAGGAGTGGTGGGAGGATTTTTGGTTTTTTTTAGGGTCTGCGGCTAACTGAACCAAAACCGATACCCGACCGGTCGGTGGTCCGCTAACCGCAGTCTCCCTCACGGTAGGTGGCCGGCAGTTAGGGATGGCAATGGATCGGGTTGGGGCGGGTTTTGTCAAACCCAAACCCATGGGTTTATCCGCCAAAAAAACTCGGGGTAAAACCAGTTGGGTTTGAAAAACTCAAACCCAACCCAACCCGCTGGGTATCCGCGGGTTCATGGGTACCCGTGGGTTTTTCTGGTAAAAATTTACAATAACAAGTTTCTTTCATATTAAAAGTTTAACATCAATGTTCTCATACAAATTAATCATACAAAAAACACCAATCTAGAGCATACAAGCAAACCGCAAATGATCAACACAAATTGTTCAAAATTAAAGATAAACATATATAAACAATAAGATTAATTGAAAGCTTCTTCCTCGTCAACTAAGTTTCTTCACTCTCCACTTCATAATATCAACTTCATTCTAAACAATTAGAAAGAACAAATTATACATGTCTCTACAAACATATAGAATATTAGTTATTTAAGGAATATATATTATTTAGAATATTAAATATACCGGGAAAGTAATTATATGTGTGTGGGAGGGTACCCATGGGGCGGGTTTACCTAAACCCAAACCCAACCCGGTGAATAGTGTAGCGGGTTTAAAGCCAAACCCGTCAACATGGATTTTACCCGCGTTGACCGGGTTGGGTCGGGTGGGTACCAGTGGGTTCGGGTTTTGTTGCCATCCCTACTGGCAGTGGGAGGTGGTGGCTCGGTTTAACCGATAACCGACCGACTGACACCCCTACATATGAATATCTCGTTTCCAATCGATTCAAATGAGTACAAATATGAATATAAACGTTGTTGTGCATTAGGTGTGAATCCAATAGAGGGAGTATAGTTTCGTATTGTCTTGGTAAATTGTCTTAATTGAGGATAGAGTCCCTTTAAGTAGTCTAATAATCAAGAAGGGATCGATTGCTTTAACCGAGATTCAAGACTTGTTAAGGACTCTGTACATTGTAAAACGAAGACTGGATCGAATTAGAGAATCATTAATCTGGCTAGTAACTGGGAGGAATCAGTACGTAAGTCACATTTCTCAATCCGAAACTTAATCAAATTAATCACTGCATTGTTAATTTTTATTTGTTCAAAGTAATCATTTGTTAACATTAGTAATATAATAATAGAGACCCATGAATTCGATAATTTCAATTTGTTGCCAGTACGGTCATTTCTCTGGTTCACTTAGCATGTGTTAGAACTTAGGAATGTTTTTTTTTTTTTTTTTTGAATTAGAGGATATACAATATTCTCTCTTTTTTTTTCTTCTTCTTCTTCTTCTTCTATTTGGTAAACGTAAATACATACAACTTAAGGATCATCACCTTCACTAAGCGCGTATAAAGCCTCAGTACCACATTTTCTAAAACGCCTACTTTCCCCATAGTCCCAACAGCTCCCAACCCCTCTCCCTCCCCGCAACACCAACAACTCAATTTGGGCCTTTTTCTTCTTCTTTTGATTCCGCCGACGCACCACTCGGAAAAAGTGAAATGGAGAACGTGATGGGGCTTCTAAGAATCAAGGTGCTCAGAGGGATCAACCTCGCCATTAGAGATGTCCGGAGCAGCGACCCTTATGTCATCGTCAAGATGGGCAAGCAGGTAAATTCTCGTACCCCTGCCCTCCTTTTTCTCTCTGTCATCCAACTTAATTCGCGTTTCGAACTGCTTGCCGTTGCCTGCACAGCACTGTCTGATCAGTAAAACACTAGATGATCCTTTCTTAATAGCTGCGTTGAATCCTCTGTTTTCATGGCCAAGTTCAATCCTCTCTTCTTTGGTCTTCGATAATATATGCTATCGGGAGTAAAATTTTCGCTTTCTTGTTTCCGGGGTCGCCTAGAGGTCGTTTTCAGCTTTGATTCACCAGCACCGTTGACATAGTGATACTGACAGACACCTAATCCCAGTACAAAGTTTACCCGTAAAAATTAAGGGCGATCGCAAAGGGAATGTTATAGAAACCAGCCAGCTGCTATCATCCTTTCGATCGGGGATATCAGGTAGATTTAGCGAGATGAAACGGTTGAACTATAGTTGAATCGCGATTGCGGATGGACGACAAGCTTTGAAAGCCGGCCAGCTGCTAAGTCTGGCCGGAAATCTATAGACGACAAAAGCATGAGTCTGGTTCTTTCATTGTAACGGCAATGAGCCGGCCGCTGGCGGATGTCCCAATCTATGGTTAGATTCTTCCCAAAAACGGTATTGACCGAATCAAGTGTACAAAACTAAATAGCCCATTTTGCCACACAGACGCTCCACCAAAATTGGTAAATGCTTATGTCGTAATCGTACAAATTGAAACAACTTAAAACAGTTTAAACCTACTCCACCATTCCACATTTTCCTCTGCTGCAAAAAAGCTAACCAATACAGTTTAAACAAAACAGAAATGGCACCGATAGCTCTTCAACTTAACCGAACTGACTCCATCATCTTTTGGAATGCAGAAACTGAAGACACGAGTGGTGAGGAAAAATGTGAACCCAGAGTGGAACGAGACCTTGACCCTGTCTGTCAGCGACCCGGGTCTTCCCGTCAAGATCGTGAGTAATGCTTTGCCAATTCATTCGCTCCATTCATAAAATTGTAAGTAGAGCTCATAATCTGGTGACAATGGCAGGAAGTGTTTGATCGAGACATGTTCAGGGACGATAGGATGGGGGATGCAGAGTTGGACATCAGGCCGTTCGTCGAAGCTGTGAGAATGAACCTCACAGGGGTGTCCAGCGGCACCATGATCAGCAAGATGCAGCCCAGCAGGAAGAACTGCCTGTCCGAGGAAAGCTCGGTCGCGTGGGTGAACGACGAAGTTGTGCAGCACATCTTCCTGAGGCTGCGAAATGTGGAGTGCGGCGAAATCGAACTCGAGCTTCGCTGGATTCATGTCCCTGGTGCCAGGGGCGTGTGGTTGTAAGACTGTAAGAGCTGTTGTTGTAGTTGATATATGTATTGTTTTTGAGTTTTTTCGGGTTTTGCTTCTCTTACCCATTCGTCCTAGCAGCCTGATTATATCTATACCTTAATCGATTCTTCTTCTTGGTGCTAATTAAAATTGTTTTTGAGTGTATGCTCTGTCTTAGATGACTCTGTTCTTTAGCATATATATGTCGCCATGAATGAATAAGTGGGCTCGTGATCTTCTCCATCTTAATCCAATTCTACTTTGATCCTGTTTAATAGATTCAGGATTTGTCCTTCCAAATATCTGATGATAGTGATAACTCTCTTATTGCGAGTAGAGACTAGGGGCAAAGGAGGGGATGGTTGCAAAAATTCATAATGGTCGCCCCAATAGACTTCTCATCTCATGGTAATTACTATTAGGGATGGGCATCTGGTTCGGTAAACCTGGACCAAACTGAATTGTCTCGCATTCGGTTGTTAAAATTAATGTTGGCGATTATCGATTTGGAATGAACCGACCGAAAATCCAATTAATTTCGAATTGAAAATCCAGCCGTTCAAGCGGTCCAATTAAGTCAGGTTCACAAGCCTTCAAAACCCAACCTATCCCACTATCCAAAAGTGCATGTATGCCTAGCAAGTCTAGATATGGTCCATACCTATCCCCTAATTGGAAACACCCCTACCACCTTAGGAATGGCAACGGGTCGGGGCGGGACGGATAGTGCATATCTATTATCCTACACTCTACCTAAACTAGTTTGGGTTTTACCCATACCCACATAAGATAGGTAGAAAATCAAAACAATGCTCATATCCTTTAGAGTTCGTGTTTTACCCTACACAATTAGGTCGAATTCGAGCGGATATCCACTGTTACGGATATTTTTGCCATCCCTACCCCCCCCCCCCCCATCTCCACGTTATCACCTCCCTCCTTTCTTCTTCCCTATTTTGCAAGAAATGACAGCAACTTGCTTACCCAGCATTCCCCTCTTTGGTCGTCCGTTCTAGGAGGACCAAGTACCTCAGGCCGCGTTGCTTTAGTAGGGAAGATTTAGACCAAGGGCACCTCAACCCTTTGCTTTTACTTTTAGTTGCATTCTCTTATCCGAGCACAAGCATCAGTTTTTGGTAGTTACTATCAAAAGACCTCGTGGAATATGACCCTATGATTTTTTACTTGCTTATTTACTATGCATCAAGTTCTTTGGCATTGTTGTCGACAATTTTCGATAGTACTTGAAAGAAGCTAACCTCTTGTTTTTTGTTTTTATAAAAAGAAAAAAGAAATATTATGTTCTAGTTGGTTTTGTTTTGAAGAACTCGAACAGGAAGAAGACATCACAGATCCTACAAGGACGTGCTACAAAACGAGGGAGCATCACTCGAAGAAGATGTGCTTCCTATCTCTATTCGAGTACTTTAAGCCAAAATCATCAAAGCTCGAAGCAAGCAGCATCATAAAAGCATCAACATCAAGAAAAAACCTTTATACATTATACAATTGCTTACAACAGAATATCATTTGACATTGGCATATGAAGAAGAAGATTATGACGAAATGGAGCTATTTAACGAAATGTGTGGAGACAACCCAATAGTGGAGGAGATGAAGCCAACTATTGATGCAATCATTGAAAGAGGCCAACTAAAGATCTATGTAGACCTCCTAAGAGCATCAACACTAGCATTGATGATGAAGGACTAAAGCAGGTGCAATCCAAGGAGAAGAAGATGATTTCCAACACTTTCCCTCTTCTTAGTTTGTATTTTGTTTCTCTAAGACTTGAATCTCTAAGGTTGTTTAGGGAAGATGAACCCTAGATTATAGATTCTTTACGGTTCATGTGTATGAATGATTATGTAAGCC